AGCATAATGACAATACAATTGGGTCGGTCGCTATTGTGTGCTATCCTTTTGGAACGAGCCGGTCGTATGTCGACCCTTAATTAAAACAATAATAATAATTATTATTATACTGTGATTCGGTGGCGACGGAGAAAAAACAATGGAAATGGGAAACGACGGTTTGTGACCGGAAATAATGGTTTTTTTTTTTTGATAAAACAAAAATATACATATATAAATACGCAAAGACAGCGGACTCGTCAACCGTTCAAGTGGACGGTCGCTAAGTCAGAGATCGAAATCTGGGGGGGGGGGATCACTTCTCAGCCTTGTTACCCGAAGTGCCTTTAATCATGCCGACCAGCGCTAAAGGTCCAAGTTAATTTGTTACCGTTTCTCCTTTGGGCGACCGACAAAAACCTTTGGGCCAGCGTGTACGTGCGCGGCGATAACGGTTGAGGCGGTTCGGATGCGAAACAGTATTATATCTTTACAAAAACAATAACAGGAAAGGAACAAAAAATATATTATATATTTGGAGAAAAAAAATCGTTTGCTAAGTCGAGGGTCGGCATGTAGAGTTTTTTGATTTTTAGTTTTTTGGAGAACTATATTTTAAAATGTAATATATTTTATTATAAAGCGATATATTCAAAAAGTGTGAAAACTTAAGGTGGGGGGGGGAGAGGAAATGTGTTTTTATAATATACAACTGGTATATTATAATCTGTAGTGAATAAATTGTGACAGATAATAAGTTCTGAAACTCTTCACTGCACTTGTACGCGTCAAGATTATATTCTAATAAGATCCTAAATATGGTAACTTTATTGGCCTGAAAATTTAAAAAGTTTACTCCTTCCCTTGTGATGTAGGTAGAGTAAAAAATACAAAAAAATAGCATTACCCCCGGAAAGGATGAAAAATCTTTTTTTATAATTTCACTTTTTTCGGTGCAGTGTTGGGACTTTGAGTCTAGAAGTCATATTGAGGATCTAGTGTGGGCCGTTAACATATTAAACGATAATAGTGTACCAAATGTTGGCAAAACTCATTTCTTAATTATTTTTAATTCAGTGATAAACGTATGTTTGATCTAAACAAATTCTAATAACAATCAGTTACCTTTCTTTTTCAGCTAAACCGATACCCCACACCCGTGACCTTTCGCCCGATCCGATTGTGCTGAAATTGTTTTATATTTTATTAGAATACTACTATAAACGCCAGTCGAATGGCATAATGTAATAATAAATTGAAAAAATATAAAGGCACTCGACACGAGTTAGTCGGAGACGATCTTGAATAAATTGACGACGCATTGGTATCCAAGACGATGGGTTTGTCTTTGAATTGTCCCCAGCCGTTTTATGTACACAAGGCAAATGGAAATTCATATTTTGCATGACCAAAAAATAAAAAAATAATAATAATAACGCAATAAAAAACAAAGCCCAATCGCACCGTCGTTTACCGAAAGTATGATTTATACACACCGTTAATGCATATTTTCGGTCTCTATTCTCCGCCAAAGGCACACTGCCATATTTCATGTTTGCCCTCGGCCGTATCATTAAGGTTTAAGAATGCACTTGACCCACTTTAAAAAAAGCCTTTTCGTTAAACAATATTATATTATATTTCCAAAATGTACTTGTCCGTTTTACTAACACACCAATGAACACATCCATTGTGCTCTGCTACCAGATTGCATGGTAACATTGACTGGAAGAGGGCGAGGGAACTAAGACGGGATGACCGGGAATATTGGATATAATTTATTTTTAATTTGATTTATGGCCAACTCGACGTCGACCCGATAATCGAACAAAGACCTAACGTTATTGGCGGTTCGATTTTCAATTAATATAGAAAAGTGTTGTGCAATATTTTCATCTTGTCCGGACGAAACGGAAACGGTGATTAATACTTTGTTCGATACATCATAATTATTATAGATATCAGGAAAGTCAATGACGGAGTAACTGTTTACCCAAATGTGTGTACAAAAATAATTGACAATTTTATAACGGTTTTCTATTCGAGCAAGAGTTCATCGATAAGATTTGCGTGCTAGGAGAGGTAATTTGGCTGACAGATCCATCATTGTTATTTTCGAATAAAAAAAAAAAATAGGAACCCCCTTAGCTACTGTAAGTCTTCGACCGGCAGTCTCCTTATAGTATGCATGTGTATGAAAAATACATAGTTGTCATTTCTCGGTAATAACAACGTGTTTCTAATAAGTGCACCTTAATCTAGATCAAACGTCGTAACCCCTGACAACCGAACACAACAAACTCAAAAAAAAAAAATAAAGAAATCTTTTTACAAAAAAAAAAATATAATATATATTATGTACAATATACTTTTCCTATTTTGTGTATAGCCTTGTACTGACACATATTTATAATGCATGTACATACATTATAACGTACTTGATGTTATAATTTTATTTTATGATCAAAAGAAGAACCAGACCCTATTATTAGCCGTAGTGGATAAACAAATTAATACCAATCGAACAAAAAAAAAAATAATAATAATAAACGGTTGCATTTTTTATTTAGTCGTTTTTGAAGTTAATAACAAGGAAATTACTTTCCAAACAAAAATAGCATCGATTAAATAACGTCGATTTTGTTTGCTTTAGCTTCGGTTAGTAGCAAAAAAAGTTGTATTTTTTTTACAGTGACAAGTTTTTTTGATAACTTTATAACCGGTTGACCGATTCATAGCAGGTGTCTTAATCAGAATTCTTAACCAAAAAGTACTTTGTAAATCTAAGAAATTATGTTAAGTTTACCCTTTCCCATTTAAAATCGAAAAAAGCGCCCAAAAAATATACAAATTATTCAAAACTTTTTAACTAAAAAAATTATTGAATTAATAACAGAATTGAATAACTTTCAGCTTGGTGTGGGGTATTTTTTTAGATGTAGTACTGTGCTACTTGTAGCTGTAGGCTGTAACTACCACTGTACTACTTGTGGGTTTGTAGTTTATTTTTGTCAGTCGAGCAGTTCCAAAGCACTATATTTAAAAGCACTAAGAAATTAGAAGTACACACTGATATCGAGAAACGGTCCTAAGCCAACAAGACAATGGACATTGGAAAGGGAATATGTGGTGTTAGCGCGGTTTTAACAATTATTAAAAAAGCGCCTCCCGGGTGTATTTTTCGGTGCCTACGTCAGACCTTTGAGCGTGTTGTAAGTAGCCCAATATGGACAATTTCGAAAACTGGAGCAAAACATTATTTGAAAAGTGTACTAGCGGAGTGCTTCTATAAAATGAATAACGACAGGACGGACAGTAAAGTGTATGTATGTCGAACGAATGCGACACTTAAAAAAGTAATCATCGCATTTTGGTGACAACATCTCTAGTTGATGAAATGAAGGTTAATGGGAGAGATAAAAACGGTCGTATAGTACAATTTTACTGTCTGCGTTAGGACCGTAGAAGCTTAATACGTGTTTTTCTTTCCATTCGTGTGTCGTTGTCCACTTAAAATTTAATTAAATCCCGCCGGGTTTGGTTAGGTTTGTACCGGCTGTCTTCAAATACTTGTAGTGGCCAAAGGTTACCAAAGGTAAGAAATTTTTCGTCAATAAAAAAATACATTTACAAAAATTGTATTACCATAAGTCTGTTATGATGATATGCATGCAAACATATTCAAAGGTATTTTATTAATTTTGTTGATATCCTGGGGACATTTTTCAAGTTATTTGAATAATGTTTACAATTGGTTTAGTTCTTTTTAGTTTGTATAAAAGTGTATGATTAGTACAAGAAAACCAATTTATATAATATTAATGAATGTTTAAAATATTGTAAGTTACAATAGCTTCATTTATTTATTAATTTATGCACTTATAAATTGTAGTTTTACGAGAAACCCTTTGATTTTTTGAACGTTTAAGTTTTATCTATTTTAACAACTAAGTAAACTATCTCCTAAACAGTTCATACGATTTTTTTATTTTCCTTTGGATATTAATTTAATATCCAAGTGGTTATTGTGGTTTATATTTTATAAGCTGTTAAAATTTTAATGATATACATTTTCTCTATCGTCACTTCGTCAAGTCGTCTTAAAAATGTCTTTTAACCGGAAAGTTGTATTGCAGTCATTAAAAAATATTATATATAATTTTTGTGCATAAAAAACTTTTTCCACATTTCTCCTTCAAAAAGCTATTTTAAAATGTATAAATTTATTTTTGAAATAGTCTTTTATTTAAATGAAATATTTAGTTCAACAATTAAATTTTTAAAAAAATGTATAAATATGTAGTAAATGGTTGTTGAGATTTAATGGAAAAATGCATAAGTATAATATTTGTTTTCGAACATTTGGAATATATATATTTTTTTTTAAACATAGAATCCTAGAAATTATTTAGCTCGTTTGACTAACTTTAAAGATGTTAAAAATGTACAAAAAGCAATTAAAATAATGGCCGATACCGTTTTCTTATTAAAGCGCGTGCGATAATGTTTATTTTACTTTACGGTTGCATTCCGCAATAATACACAAGATCCAGGATCGTCCCTAGGGAAGTAAATTCTAGTGAAGTAGGTTATAAATTGTTTTTGTATTCAAGCCAGGACGAAACTGGCAACGTTTATTTTTTTACATGCCAATATACGCGTTCAACAAGTGGCACACATATATATATTTAACCGAAACTGTTAACACAAACTCAAAATGATGCTTTACTTTGCGAAGCAAACAGTCGAAAACATAATTTAACAACTGTAAGATCATTTTTTAGTTTTAATTAAAATGGTTTTATTAGCAGATACATTTGGAAAATATTTATGAGAACGCTGCACGCCCAAAAACCCAAGAAATGTTTTAAACATGTTTGTGAAACGTTATACCTAATGTAAAATATCAGAACATTTCTAAAATAACAAACGTCATATAATGGAACAACAATTTTGTTTTTTATTTTTACTAATACAGACAATTATATCCAATTAGATCACCAATCAAAAGCAATACTTACGGATATGGGCGCCGGGTCTTGGTTGGTGGTTGTTGATTTTAGCATCGGAACCTGAAACAACACATAAACGAAAATCATTCACTCGCCCGATAAATAATGATATATATATATATATATATATATATATATATTTATCAAAAATAATAAATAATGATCAATAGAACACACAAGCGCGCAGTTGATTGCAATTTGTATTTTATCAAGAACTTTAAATCCCCTTTCGTTCCCATCGAGCTGGTACTGAATGCAATAATTAATACACCTAAAGTTTTGCGCAGTGTTAAATATTTTGACGAATATTTCCTAAACCAATTATCTTGTTGAATGAACGTTGTTAGACGATATTTCAAATCAAATTATCTTTAATTTTGAGTTTGGGTTCAATTTAGTTTGCAGTGATTAATAATAATAATTGTAGCGAAGAAGTCATTCCGAAAATTGGGTTCTCAAGAAATTATTACCAACTACAGTGTACATATATTGTATATACGTTTTCGGGGGGGCTGGTAATCATAAATTAAAAGTGAAACACATTTAACGCAATCGGATTACTTTTATAGGCGTTGCGAAAATAGAATAATAGTCCTAACATGATTTATGAACACTCTATCAAAGTGTACAATGATTTTTATTCGTTAATCAATATTAAAAAAGAATTCTAAACTCATAAGTACAACATAATATTACTAGAACCAAACAAAATATGTAAAGCTAAAAAATCACACTTTCCATGCTGATAAAAGAAACTATAAGAAAAAGAAAACAATAATTATTATGAAAACTTAAATAAAGTTTTTGCATCATAGTTATTGTTTGAGGCTATAAAAAGTTTTGATGACGGAAAATACAATAACATATTCTTTTGGTCTTTTTACACAAATTAAATTAAATTTTACAATTATTCAATTTACATAATACTCCAATAAAAACATTTTCACTTACACTTGTTACAACGCAAATATATGATTAAATTGTTTTACTGGGTTTAGCGTAAGTAAGAAAACTCAAGTCAAACTTGAAAGCTTAGAAATTGACATAATATTTTAAAGAGTTTTGACTATTTGTGAACCATATTTCTGATGTGGTGAGCCTTTTGTTGTTACAGCACAACCAAGATGTCATAACCGCATACTGAATATCCAAAAAGTTTGACTTACTGCGGTTGAGTATAAACAATAAGTTAAGTAATTGTCAAAACTAAAGAGACCGACTCGGTTAATGGAACGTGGTCCTTTATGGAGACACTTGTGATTATTTCAATTTATAAATTAGTCGTGGAACACAATAATGTTTTCAATCTAAACCACCTGTTTGTTAATATATGTATCTGTTTTATCCTCAATTAATAAACTTGGGTACTTGATTTTTATTGTTCCATAAAGTAAACGGATATAAGTTCCTTTTCTTTACTCTTTTCTGGAATGGTTTTTTTGAAAACATGATATTTCATAAGTAAATTTTTTTCCAAAAGTTTTGCGCATTCACATAATCGACATAGGAGCAAGCTTTTTTATTAAAAAAATATTTAACGCAATTTTTTATTTTTATTTTTTATTTTAATTCTGTCCATTCGAACGACCTGCTTGACATTACGAATTCTGTTCACGGCAGAGCATTTTTGTGGATTATTGCAATTTTTAATTAGCGACATTTGTCTTTTGCTCGCCATAGTGTCTCCAAAGGATGAATGGGGTTTCAGTAGGACTCCAACGAGACGTAAAGGCGATGTGCGGGTGCGACGGGTGCACTTAATTGAAATTCATCACTGGTAAATGTACCGGAATAATACGCTTTAAATGAAGTAGTGAGAACGTGTTAGGCAGAGGAAAAGAGTAGAGCAAGAGAGAAAGAGAGAGAGAGATGAAGAAGGAGAAAGAGAAAGACGGAGAGAAATAATATAGTAAAATAAAAAATAATATTAGCACAATTTCGGGTCTCTAGTGCAAGTTACACTTAACGATAATTTATTACTTAAGATTACTCGAAAACCGCAAAACTAAAAAAAATTATTTAAAAAAAAAAATACCGTTAAAAATCAACATTATAATTTTGATTAGTGTTTTTGATTTTTTGAACTCTTTCATTGAAAAAAAAATGTAGCTATATTTCCAAATATATTTTTGTTGCACTTGAACACAGTTAAAAACGTCTCGCGGCGTTCGTGACGAACTATTATTGTATTTTGCGTTTTGTTTAATAATAATCGGTAAGATGTTATTTTTTTTTAATAATTTTGATGGCAATCGGCTGTTCTTTATATGAACTTTGTTAAATTAAATAATCATTTTGCAGTTAACATAAAACCACACTTGAATCACAGCCGAAGGCAACGGGATTAATTTGGAGATTTAGACATTTTGGGAAAGAGGAGGGCGAGGAGAGGCAAGGACAGGTCTCACCGAATATTGTCGACGAAGCACGTCTTCGAGACCACAATAATGATTCTTAATATTGAAAATCATCGGTTCGAAACGATCGACCGTATAAAAATAATAATATGCTAAAGCAGTGGTGCCGGCCGCGGGAGACAGGAATTCCGTCTCTGAAGTAATTATAATCATTATCTTTGGTTGTTAAAAACGCGACGGGAAGCTGTACAACAACGGAAAGGACATTGCCAACAGTTTGTCTACTGGTTTGGGGTTTTTTTTTTGGAGCGGAAGGGGGAGAAGGTGAGATTAGCTAATAAATTCGGTTAATGTATCCCATTGTCCAAATGATTAGTGTGTAATGTCAAACTAATAACAGTAATCAAACAAAAAAATTATCCACAAGTTAAATTTTACAATAGAGCGTTACTAAATTTTCCTTTCGCATTTGTTTAATACAAAAATAAAAATTGTTTCTGAACACTATTAAAAGCTTGTAAATAAAACTCTAGCCAAGGAAACTTGTGGTTCGCATTTATTCCCTGGGTTGGAAAAAAGGCAAGGAGCAAGATGTACTTGTTAGGATAAATACATAAGTTAAACAATTCATTTACATGCTCTTAGTTTGTATCTATTTTTGATCACAGCCATTAAAAAACAAATAAAAACCACTTTTTTGAAAAAAAAATTAAAAATTATGGTTATTTTAATGAGACAATAAAGTGGGTTTTTTTTAAATTTTTTATGCTTCTGTGGAGTTTTGTTTGTGAAGAATAAGCTCGAGACCGATTACTAAAATAAACAATTATTTAGAAAGAATACATTTCATTTAAAAACTTGTTGGTTTATCGGGAAACCCCGAAGTGACACATTGTGATCATGGTAATTTTTGTTTTTTTTTTTATTTTGGACGGAGGTAATACATATTTTCTGACTTTTTTTTACCACGTCCAAAAATACACCATGTATTATTGCTTTGGTGGTGGAAATCTTGGACACGCGCTGCCCATTTAACGGGTCTCAAGAAGAAGAAGAGGGGTGGACCGCTCTGCCGTCAGCCGGTTAAGAGAAACGACCGTCCAAAAAGATTTACTCGTGCAACAGCTGCAGATACCGTTGTTGGCATTATAAACCAAACACCATATTATGTTACATAGTTTGTATATCGATATAATTCTTAGTAATTATATTTTGTACTTCATGTACACCGAGTGTCATTTAATTATTGTTATTGGGAGACAATCGTCGTTTTTACTTGTACGTGTACACACATTAAACATTTTATTTTTTTATATTTAGTCAACCCTTTTATTATTTGATACGCTCCTGAATAAGGATTTTATTCCAACAACCGTGATACGATTCGACTGCGGTGTGGGCGAAAAAAATAATTTAAAAATAACCCCATTCGTGTTTACTTTACAATAGAGTAATTTTAAACGACGGTCGTTGAAAAATAATAATAATAAAAATCCACATGAATGATCTACTCTATTGGCGGCGCAAAGGCTATACGATTTCACTACACCGGTGTACGCGAGGACTTTGTCCCATGTCGCACATTGTGTTGTAAAAATAATTAAAAACTAAAAATATTTTCAAGTACAAGACTTCAGTGCTTGGTCGAAAAGTATTGAACTTGTTTTATATGACCCGCGTTTTCAACATGCAAGGGATGGACTTACAAGAGCTGTGCAGGGTTCGTATGGCAGACAATTATTCGCAGTATATATAAATTTATATCTAATGACTAGTTGGTACCAAAAAAATCTATTACTTTTAAAGAAGAATTCAAATAATCAAAATATGTCCAAAGAAAACAAAGTTTATATATTATATTATTTTAATTAACAAATTACTCTGTTCAGAAAAATGTCTACTCTTTGTGGGTAATAAGAACCATAACTTATTGATTGCTTAGGATTTTTCTCACTAAATTCAAATTTGTTTTCAGATATTTTTTTTTCTTCGTGTTTTTCGTTTTATCTAGTTTTGTAAAAAGTATACCCAGGATTTATCCGTATATTATGTATTCTGAGTTTTCTATATATTTACATAATGAACAATTAATGTAATTTATTCAAACTTTTGGCGCTATTCACAAGTGAGAATTTACTCAATATTAACACCGCAAATGTTTTAAAAATATTTCCCTAACGTTATAAAAACACAATTAAAGCGTGAAATTTACTAAAAAAAAATTGTATTGTTATTACTATTTGGTTCGCTGTCGAAACACTATTTGAAATTATTTTTACAATGTCAAAAAAAAAAAATACAAATTTTATACGAATGTTATAATATGTTCTTAAAATAATAATACAATTTTGCTGTGTGGGTTCGGATAGTATGGTGGTAAAATGAAATTATACCTTCGGGATACTAATACAGCTGTACTAACAAAAGTGGACACATAAAAAAAAAACACCATCCGGTGTTTACCGGAATTTCCTGTGTAGATACTCAATATGCACATATACTTGGGACGTACCGTTTTTTGGTGCTTTTTTTTTAACGGTAATGTTTTGTGTTTGACTTTTTTTTCATCTAGTCCGGCAAACCGCTGGACTTTCGACCTTTTGTCGGCGACCAAACAAAAAAAAACCGGCAACAACATCAAACAACGTTCAAGCACACAAGAAGAGAGGAAGAGAGGTCGAGGGAAAAGAGAAAACCCTACCC